CTTCCTCCTTTGTAAAACGAGGGAATTACAAACACCTCTCCCAGGTTTGGCCTGAACACATCACAAGCACCAGCCTCTGAAGGACAGTAGATGCTGAACAGATGGGAACTGTTATCTCTTGGAGAACCCAATTCAAATCCTTACCAGATAAGGCATCCACCAGCTAGGTGTTCAAAACAAGTCACTCATTCCTCCGAGAGCCTCCGTTTCCATTGCTATAAAACGGGAATGCTGATAGCCACCCTGAGAGGGTGGCTGTTGTAAGCCCTAAACCCAGCCCACGTGAGGGTCTCAAGAAGGTCCCTCCCAATGGCCATGTCCCCACCCCTGCTGGCTCGCCACCCTGGTCAGCAGCTTCTCTCCGGGCACTTGGTTCCCCGGTCCAGGCTGCCCAGGAGTCCGTGCTGTTTTTATTTTTATTGTTTCTGGCTCCACAACCGAGGCCTCTAATTCCAAATGTCTCTCCTTGCCCAGAAAAATAGGTCGCTGGCAGCTCCAGCCTCCTGACAGGCCCCACACAAAGGCCGCCTGGCGGGCCTGCCTGCTGACGCCAGGCCAGGGTTACGGGAAGTGGGGAGTGACATGGGCAGGGCTCGAGCCCACAGGGCTTGAGCCCACAGAGCCGGGGCCAGGCAGGTAGCAGCGTGCCCCACAAAGTGGCCCTGGTCAAGTCACGTTCTGTCCTGGGCTTGTCTTCTCGCCTTCGGGAACTGAGGAGGTGCTGAGTTTTCAGTGAGAAGACGTATGCGGAAGGGCCTGACACACACGAGGGCGCCACTGCTCACCGCAGAGGCAAGACTCCGTCTAGTCTCGCCATGGCCGCCTCAGCATCCTCATGCTATTGACCCCTCATGTCAGGGCTATCCTTGTTATCTTATGTCACAGATGAAGAGATAGGCTCAAAAAAGGGGGGATTTTTGCCCATGTTGCATAAGTCAGATTGGCTAAGCCCTAGCTTCGAAGCCCCTCTCCAGCTCATTCAAGTCTTCTTTCTGGGAACCTTTGACAGGGAAGGGATGTGATCTGATGGATACAGGAGGGTACCCTGGGCTGCAGAGTAAGGAACAGACAGGAGGGACACGATGGAAACGGGGCACCCAGATGAGAGGTGCCTGGAAGTGGCTTGGCTCTGAATGTGGCGGAAACGCCTAGCCAGCAGGATCTGTGGACAGACTGCCCTCTAGGAGTAAAAAGGGAAGAATCAGGGAGCTGCCTCTCACTTCCCATCCCACCTCCTCTGGGAGACCTTCCCTGATTAATCCATTTTCAAAATTGCACCCATTCCTCTCATGGGCATTCCTGGGCCCCTCCCCTGCTTTATTCCCCCCACCCCGTGACACCCCTCTCATCTGACTAAAGATTTTACCCATTGATTTTTTTCTCTCCCCCGCCTCCCCATTAGAATGTCAGCTCCTTGAGGGCAGGGATTTTTGTCTTTTTTTTTTTTTCAACTTCCACATCCCCAGTGCCTGGCACATTATAGATGCTTAGTAAAATACTGTTGCATGCGTGAATGAATACGTATGAAGGTAGTTTGATTTTAATGCAGGGCAGCCCAGACCACCTGCTATGGGGTGGACGATTCATGTCCATGATGTGTCAAAATTTCTCTATGTGACCTCAGGTGTCCTCCACCTCAGTTTACGCATCTGCCCGTTGGTTTTCATGCCCTCTTATCCTGGAGGTTAGCCAAGGGTGATTTTTTATGAGGACAAAAAACAAGGCTCAGGGTCCCCTTCAGGGGAAGCCAGGATGAAAACGCTCCTGTGTAGGGAGCCCTGCTGAGAGTCTTTGCCAAAGGTGCTGTGTATAAATAGCAGGTGGTTCAATTATTATCCTTCCCTAATCCCCAGGTTCCTAATCCCAGGCAGGTCTGTGTGGGTGTCTTGAGAACAGTGAACAGCCTTCTGGAAGCCCAGGACAGGAGCTGCCTCTTCTCTGATCTCATCAGCAGCCCCTAGACCCCCACTCCCACCAGACGGATTCTGGTGGTGGGTTTTCCCAGAAGACTTACAGTCCCCCTCATGGAGCCTGAAGAGCCGGAGGCACTCCCTGCTCCCCCCCCCCACCGCTTGGACACTAGGATGGCTGGAACAATCCCCTTCCTCACTGGTGCTCGATTCCACGCCCCCCTCTTATAAGTCAGACTATGGCTTTCCTCTGCTGAAAGCCCTCCAGTGGTTTCCTATCTGCACAATGAACACAGGTCTTTCACCTGGGTCTTCCAGGCTACCCAGCTATCTCAAGCCCTTTCATCTCCAGTCAAGCTGGCCTGTTCTTGGGCTCTTGATCAGTGATGGTCCCTTATTCTGGAACACCCTTCTCCCCAACTCTCAGCCTTGCTGTCCCTTCTTGGGCTGAGCTCTCTGCTTCTTAAGGAAGCCCTACCTGGCCCCTGTCTAAATGCACTCACCTCTCTCTTTCAGCTCAACCTTCTGCTGTTCACTAATTACATTCTACTTGCCTACTTATCTTACCCCCCTGCTAGAATGTCCATTCCTCATGGACAGGGACTTCCAGGGGTCACCATTGTTTGCTCTCCCCCCCCAGCCAGAGAAATGAAAATTCCTTTGCACTTCAAACGCTGCCCAGAACCCTGTGGATTCCCAAGGACTGTTGTCAAACACTTCACTTATTTATTAAACGCTTATGTTGCACTTGGTATGTGCTGGACTCTTTGGAAAGTGTTGTACAAATATTAATTCATCTAATCCTCACAATAGCCTTTTTAGGCTGATACCCATGTTGGCCTCATTTCAGATGAGGAAGCTGCAGCACAGAAGTGATGAGGCATTTTCCAAGTTCCAAGTGCACACAGCTAGTAACAGGTGGCAGGTGGATTGGAACCCAGTGGGTTTGGCTTGTGTTTTCAAGAGGGACTCCAGGTGTTTCTGTCTTAGCACAACAGCAGGACAATCAGGAGGCTAGGGTGGGAGGTCACTATGCACAGCTCTTTTTTTTGAGTCAGAGTCTCGCTCTGTCACTCAGTCTGGAGTGTAATGGCACACTCATGGCCACCGCAGACTTGACCCACTGAGCTCAAGTGATCTTTCTGCTTTTCAAGTAGCTAGAACCACAGGCATGCGCCATCATGCCTGGCTAATTTTTTATTTATTGTAGAGATGAGGTCTCGCCAAGTTGCCCGGGCGGGTCTCAAACCCCTGGGCTCAGGCAATCCTCTCTTCTCTGCCTCCCAACGTGCTAGAATTACAGGCATGAGCCAGTACACGCCCAGAGATGCACAGCTCTTTAGCATGGGAATCGGGAATGCAAATCTTGTTTCTAGCCCAAGTCTTGCTGTGTGGCTTTAAGCAAGCCTGCTCCCTCTCTGGGCCTCAACTCTCCTGTCCATTAACAGGGTCAAACCTTCTCCCACCTTGCTTGGTTTGTTCCCTCTTAACCGCCACCGTGTGAGGCTGAATTCCCTCCAATTAACAGCGGGTCTTGAACTCCTGTTCCTCCCCACAGCCCAACCTTCTCTTGCCAGATGACCACTGTCACTCCCCATCACCGTCCTGGCTGCCACTGAGAACGCAGCGTTCCCTCAAGAAAAAAACAAAACAAAAACACAAAACAGGGCTCGGTTGGTTGTCCCCTCCAACTCCAGGCCTCCTGCCCGGCCTCTCCTCTCCCTCCTCTTCCTCACGGCCAGGCATTTTCCCGGAGCTGAAGTCCCTCCCCCCCCCCACACCCCTGCCTGGGCCTTCCCCGCCCACCTGATAGACGGGCATCTGGCCAGAGGGCTCCCGCCCCCTGGGCAGTCGGCCCCCTACGCCCCCCTTCTTGCTCCCTCTCCTGCCTGCGCCTCTTTTCCAGGCGGCACTGAAGTCCTTCCTACACACACGCTATTTTTGTACCAGCACTCTCTTCTTCCTCTCCCCTTCCCCCTACATTCACTTACTTCCTGCTTTCCTTCACCTCGGCCCCGCTCAGAAACAATCGGCCCCTCTGGCCCGCGCCCATCCTCAAGAGGGGCCTTCAGCTTTGGGGCTCGGGGCAGGGCCGCTGGGGGGGGGCAAAAGGCAGGCACCCCCCGCCCCCCCAGCCTGCCCCCTCCTACGCCGTCTCCAGC